TATTAATGCCCATCGGTGCCGCCTATCAGTGCCCATCAGTGCCACCTAACAATGTCCATCAGTGTCACCTATCAGTGCCACCTAACAATGTCCAGCAGTGTCACCTATCAGTGCAGCCTAACAGTGCCCATCAGTGCTGCCTATCAGTGAAGGAGAATAATTACTTATTTACAAAAATTTGTAACAGAAACTAAGAAAAAAATTTTTTTCAATGTTTTACAGTGCACATCAGTGCCACCTATCAATGTCCATCAGCGCCGCCTATCAGTGCCCATCAGTGCAGATGTAAAGAGTAAGCAATATTTTTCTTCCTCCACAAGTCTTCTGAAATCCCATTTCCCAAGTGCTCCTTCCCATCAGCTGACTGAAATAGTTAAAAACAGAAAACATGTTTCCGCCCGGTTTCGAACCGGGGACCTTTCGCGTGTTAGGCGAACGTGATAACCACTACACTACGGAAACCACTGCTGAGTTGCCTATCCCTAATGTGATGTAAGTATCATGGAAAGAAGAAGAGCATTTCTGTGGAAGTTGTTAGTGGATGTAATCACATTAGTGATTGAAAGAAAATGTTCCAGCTACACATCACCAATATTTACTAATCAAAGATATTATCAGCAGAAGAGGTTTAAGCAGAGTAATCACTTATGTTTCAGGAGAAAAAAAATAAATTTCTCTTTTGACTATGCCTAGGTTCACATCTGTGCAGGTTTTGTGGCCACAGGTGTGGCGGCCCATTCATGTGAACGGTTGGCGTGCCTGTGTTTCTGTAAAAAAAAAAAAAAAAAAGTGCTTGCACATTTTTCAGAATGCAGCTGCAGCCAAAAGCACCGTGCGATACCCCTGCGGTCCTGCACCCACAAGCGTGCTGCGGGCTGAGATTCAGATGAATGAATGGCAGCCCTATGCGTCTCCACTGAGTTGCATGATTTGGCTGCGGGTGGTTGCGGGTGCTGAAGTAGTTTCGGTTCTCTCCAAGCCAAGTGTTCAAGCATTTACAGGTTAAATCAGGTGGTGAGGAGGTGACATAATGCGTATATAATGCCTCCTTTATCACGTCATGCCACACACGCAACCCACGGCCTTATATAGTATGCTGAGTGCCTCCCATACCCAGATCTTAAAGGGCAAATTCAGGACAGGCAAGCCAAGGGCCCTTTAAGATCTTGGTATGGAAGGCACTCAATACAGTACTTAAAGCGGAGTTCCACTCACACTGTCAAAAATAAAAGTTAGCAGCTAAAGAAACTGTAGCTGCTGACTTTTAAAAAAACAGCCACTTACCTCTCCCACTATTCTGTGGCATGTCCCCTGCAGCCCATTTTACCGGCCGTCCCGTATTCCAGGAGGCCAGCATCTTCAGTGTGGGCACCCGGCTGTGACAGCTTGCGGCTTCACAGCCGGGTACCCACTGCGCATGCACGAGTAGTGCTGCACTTCATGAATGGTCCTGTAGTCTTCTGGGACCTGTGACATGTCCAAAAGACTACAGGAAGGGAGGGAGGGAGGGAGGGGGGGAGGACACCCTCCGATTGGACCAGAAGTGGGTTTGGGTACCAGTCAAATTTGGGTACCCACCCCCCAAAGGTGCCAATCCTTAATGGGGAGCAGGGGAGCAGTCCTTAAACCAGAACTTCCCGTTTTGGGTGGAGCTCCGCTTTAAGTCCATGGGTTGCATGACTTGATAAAGGAGGCCATGCCTCCAAAGCACATCTTCATAGCAACCATGCAGCGCATGCCTTCCCTCCTCTCCCTCGGGTTGTGTTAGAAATCATAGAAAAGTGATGACGGAGAAAAGACTGAGTGGTCTATCCAGCCTGCCATTTTTTTATCTTTTTTTTATGCTTTGTATTTTTTTTTTTTTTTTTTTTGTGTTTCAAGAGATCATTTATTGGCTTCTAATTTATTGATTCCCCCCCAGAGAATAAGACGGTGGGTGTTGAAATATTTTTATGTCATAGTATTTGCGCAGTGAATTTTCCAAAGCACCAAAACCTGGTTCAATGACCGTGGGATTACTGTGCTTATTTGGCCGCAAACTCGCCTGACCTGAACCCTATAGAGAATCTATGGGCATTGCCAAGAGAAAGATGAGAGACATGAGACCGAACAATGCAGAAGAGCTGAAGGCCGCTATTGAAGCATCCTGGTCTTCCATAACACCTCAGCAGTGCCACAGGCTGATAGCTTCCATGACATGCTGCATTGAGGCAGTAATTGCTGCAAAAGGGGCCCAAACCAAGTACTGAGTTCATATGCATGCTTATACTTTTCAGAGGTCCGATATTGTTCTATGTACAATCCTTGTTATATTGATTGCATGTAATATAATAATTTTCTGAGATTGTGGATTTGGGGTTTTCATGAGCTGTAAGCCATAATCATCACAATGATGACAAATCACGGCTTGAACTATCTTGCTTTGCATGTAATGAGTCTATCTCATATATTAGTTTCACCTTTTAAGTTGCATTACTGAAATAAATGAACTTTTGCACGATATTCTAATTTTTTGAGTTTCACCTGTATATATATATATATAATTTAGTATTTTATATGCATTCCGTTTGAAAATTTGCTGCGCAAATACTATGACATAAAAATATTTCAACACCCACCGTCTTATTCTCTGGGGGGGGAATAAATAAATTAGAAGCCAATAAATAAAATATTAACCACTAACTCAAACCCTTACACCTAATCCTAACCCTGATGTAACCTTAACTCTAACCCCTTACCCTAACAAAATAAATAAATAAATAAATAATAATAATAATAATAAAAATGAATAATAATAATAATGATAATAATAATAATAAAAAGAAATGAAAGCTGATGGAAAAGTTAAAAAAAAAAGCTGAAAACCTAGCAACAAAGCTACTGGCTAATGAAGAAAAAAACAAAGCTCAAAAACACCAAAATAACGCTGTACGAAAATGTGCAAAATCACACAACACAAAAATTGTGCCCAAGAAATGCGAAAAAAAAAACGCTCACGTGTGAATTTCCTGAGGCCTGAGCATGAATTTATTTTGTAAATGTTATAGGATCCAATTATTTTTGAGAGGAGTAGGACAGTTTAATAAAGCTCAGGATTTTATACACATACTGCACATTCGTATACACAGATAGAATTTTACATATACAGCAAGCAAATGTATATAGAACTTATCATTGTAAAACATGTAAGGTTAAATATAAAAGTCATAAACAAAACTTAACATGTCAGGAGAAAAAAAAAAAAAATATCTAGCAGAGGATGGTTTCGATCCATCGACCTCTGGGTTATGGGCCCAGCACGCTTCCGCTGCGCCACTCTGCTCTGTACTGTTTAGTGTCTTCTATGTCTGCTACATACTTAGGTCTTCTGTACATTTGTTTCATAGTGAAAAAATGAATGTGCTGGCAGATAAACATGCAGGTCTCTGTGGCGCAATCGGTTAGCGCGTTCGGCTGTTAACCGAAAGGTTGGTGGTTCGAGCCCACCCAGGGACGTGTGACTTTTTTTTTTTTTTATTTAATACACAACTGTCAAATAGCAACCATTTAAACCATGACAATGCTTTCCTGCAATGTAGACCCTTTATGAATTTTATGCTTGTCATCTGAAACTCATGTCAAATGTCATTTCTACAGTTTTCTGAAAAAAAAAAAAGGTAGCCATATCGCAAAGCTTTTATTCAAGCAGCATAAGGATAGGAAATATACATAAATAAATAGACATCATTGCTGATATAACTTTGTACAATTTAAAATGCCAAATAAAATGAATAGTAAGTTTTTAAATAAATTGAAAGAAAAAAAATGCCAAACACAAATAGTTACATTTCCAGCTCTAAAGGGAAAAACCAGTTCTCCTATTATTAAAAAGAAAAGAAGTCCAGCGCAGATCGCTCTTCAGGCTACATTCATATATAGTGCTTTGTGAAGGTGCACAAAATCACGCAACAATTTTGCATCACATGCATAGGTCTGCCCAATGTGCGACAAGCGCAGCGAAGTAGCACATACACCATCTTAACCCCTTCGCGCCAGTGCCTCCCGGCCCTTTAAGGGTTTAAGAAGCCGGGGGTTTACGGTCATGTGACCGCCGTGACATGCAGTCACGGTGGTCACATGATCTGGAAAAGTCCCGATCGAAAGAGGAGATCGGGACCTTTCCGTGAGCACCGGACATGTGTGCTGGGTGCACGCAGGGCACATGCTCTCAGCACATATGGTTATGTTAATTGAACGCAAATGTGCGGCCGCTCGGCGTCTAGGCCCATTTGTGTGCGGCCGGCGTGAAGAGGTTAAGCATCAAGCTTTGTTTGTGTTTTTAGATAACAAAAGTGTTTTTGCCGCATTTTGTCTGCCATTAGCAATGATTGGCTGCATAAGCACGACAGGCGTTTTTTGTGCCTTTCCTAAAACGCTCATGAAATCACACAATTGTATACATGTTTGCGAAACACTAAAATGTGAACGCAGCCTCAGGGGGGTACTGCACATATGAATGATTTGTAGGGCTGTTCAGACTCCATGCACATAGGGCGTTATGATAACGCTGGTAACGTTAGCTGTGTAAAGTCATGTTAAAAAATGTGAGTTTTTTTTTTTAGATTTTGTTTAGCCTTTTTGCATTATCGTTCAGTGGCGTTTTCCCGCGTTTGCATTTATTAGCGTTTTTAGGCTAAAAAGTCCAAAAATGCCAGTTTGGGGCATTTTACCGCGTTTTACCGCGTTTTGCCACATTAGAGCATTTTTACAGCTAAAAAACTCTAGAAACTCACTAGTCCTGGGTCTTTTTCCAGCCAAAAAACCTTGATTCCAGTCTATGTGTGCATGGACACATAGGATGACTGCCGCTGTAAAAACATCCCGTGTGCGTGGGGACACATTGTTAATGGCACCCCAAAAGGCAGCAAGTGGAAAAACTCTCAACAAAAGCGCCAAACTGCACAAAACTCAACACTCAAAAAGCTACATGAGCTACTTTGGCGCATTTGTCATGCATTGGGCAGCCCATTGAAATTAATGAGTTGCCCTCTGTGTGCAGCACAAAAAAGTGCATAATGAGCCATAATGCAATACTTTCACACAAGTAGCATGGAGCAGGGGCGGACTGACCATTCGAGCACTCAGGCACCGCCCGAGGGCCCGAGGTCAGTAGGGGGGCCCCATGAAATGCCCCTGGTACCTTTTATAGGCTTTTTCGGGTGTACTTTGAGTGCGGGCAAGGACACAGGGGCCCATGATCTCCTATTGCCTGGGGGCCCCATGAGTTGTCAGTCCGCCCCTGGCATGGAGATATGTAATCTACATAAATAAATATACATCATTGCTAATATAACTTTGTATCATTTCATATACAAAATTAGTCCTGATTCGCATCTGGTCACGACTTTAACTCCTTGGCGCCGGTGCCTCCTAGCCAGGGGCGGACTGACCATTTGGAAACTCGGGCACTGCCCGAGGGCCCGGGGTCAGTAGGGGGCCCCATGAGATGCCCCTGGTACCTTTTTCATAGGCTTTTTTGAGTTTGGGCAAGAACACAGGGGCCCCATGATTCCCTATTGCCCGGGGGCCCATGAGTTGTCAGTCTGCCCCTGCTCCCAGCCCTTTAATGGTTCCAGAAGCCAGGAGGTGGGGCAGGGTTTAGGGTCACGTGACCGCTGTGACACGCCGTCACATGATCGGGAAAGGTCCCGTTCGAAAGAGGAGTTCAGGACCTTTCCGTGAGTACTGGACATGTGTGCTGGGAGCACGCAGGGCGCGCGCTCTCAGCACATATGTTCTTTGTTAATAGAACACAAATGTGCAACCGCTCGGCGTGTATGTAATTTTTATTTTCCCCTTGAATCCTTCCTACGAACTGGAAGTCCAATCCTAGATATTATATCTATGTCTTGCAGTTGCAACAAATGTATCCATTTGTATCCAAATAAAAACATAATGTTATACAAATGTTGCAACTGCAAGACTTTTTCATATAAAAATATAATAGTTAGGACTGGACTTCCAGTTCGTAGAAAAGATTCAGGGGGAAAATAAAAATGATATATATATAGATTGTAAGCTCGAAAGAGCAGGGCCCTCGAACCCTTCGTGTATTGTTTTTTACTGTATTGTCTCATGTACTTGTCCCCCACTATAATGTACAGCACTGAGCAAACCTTCTGGCTCTATATAAATACTGTATAATAATAAATATATATATATACAGTATATATATATATATATATATATATATATATGGGATTCAGTAAAAAGAATTCTGGCAACCTTGCAGGTCACGGCTTATGCGCGGATTTTTTTATCGGTAAAACGATCAGCCCATCATTGCCGGGAAAATTGGCTGATCGTCCAAATCGGCCGCAAATTTTCCAACATGACCGATAAAAAAACTGTGCAGAAAAACACTGAAAAACAGCCGACCAGTTAACCCACTAACAGTGTGAAAATTGGCCGGTTTTCGACCCGTCTATGGCCAGCATTAGGGTAAGTTCAGGGGCTGTTAAAAAAAACACTGAACAGCTCCTGAATGTGAGTTTATCAGCTGCAGTGTACATGAGCCCTTAAGGACAAAGCCAGTTCCCATTTATGCAGGCCATAGATGGGGAGAAAAACGGCCGATTTTTCTTTTAAAAAACGAAAAATCGGTCGTTCAAGCGGCCGACGTTACCAGCAATGGTAAAAAAAAATCGGCCGATTTTCATCCTGTCTACAGCCGGCAAAAAGTGTCCCTGCAGAGAGCTCCGCTATTTCTTTGACAGTTCTTTGACAGTTCCTTGACATTTACAGCGGTTGCAACAATGTATCTATTTGTTTCCATTTAGGATACAGATGTCTTTATTCGGAAACAAATAGATACAATGTTACAACCGCTATAAATGTCAAGGAACTGTCAAAGAACTGTCAAAGAAATAGCGGAGCTCTCTGCAGGGACACTTTTTGCCGGACTGGAATTCCTCTTATTTTTCATCCTTCTGCTTCTTCTTCTTCTTCTTCTTCATCATCATCCTCTTCTTCTTCATCATCATCATCATCCTCTTCTTCTTCATCATCATCCTCTTCTTCTTCTTCTTCATCATCCTCTTCTTCATCATCATCCTCCTCTTCTTCTTCTTCTTCATCATCATCCTCTTCTTCTTCTTCATCATCATCATCCTCTTCTTCTTCATCATCATCATCATCATCCTCTTCTTCTTCTTCATCATCATCATCATCCTCTTCTTCTTCTTCATCCTCATCTTCTACTTCATCATCATCATCATCTTCTACTTCTTCATCATCATCATCTTCTTCTTCATCATCATCCTCTTCTTCTCCATCATCATCATCCTCTTCTTCATCATCATCTTCATCATCATCATCCTCTTCTTCTTCATCATCATCCTCTTCTTCTTCATCATCATCCTCTTCTTCTTCATCATCATCTTCTTCTTCTTCATCATCCTCATCTTCTTCTTCTTCATCATCATCCTCATCTTCTTCTTCTTCTTCATCCTCATCTTCTTCTTCTTCCTCTTCCTCTTCCTCTTTTTCGTCTTTTTGTCTTCCTCTTGCAGGTCACTGCTCATGCGCAGATTTTTTATCGGTAAAAAATCGGCCGATTTGCCCATCATTGCCGCAAAAATCGGCCGATCGGCAAAATCGGCCGATTTTTTTCCAACTTTACCGATAAAAAAAATCTGCCAAAATACCGAAAAACGGCCGAATAGCCCACTAACGATCCGAAAATCGGCCGATTTCCGACCCATCTATGGCCTGCATTAGCTTTTCATATACATATCTATATGTAATTAATTAAAAAAACCGATAAAATTCCTTCCCTGACCGGGAATCGAACCCGGGCCGCGGCGGTGAGAGCGCCGAATCCTAACCACTAGACCACCAGGGAGGCTGCTAGCATTGTTCCTCTGTACTATACAGAACACTGTCATAGATTCATTTCAGATCATTACTGAAATGCATAGTTGAGAGACATAAGATTGATATTGTATTGTTCCATTTATGCAGTGTATTTAATCCACACTGCACTATACCATAATGTCGGAATTTCATTTGTACTCCAAATTATTTGCATGTGTTTCTCTATTAAACAAACTTGACCAATATCCATAGATCTTCTCCCAATGTTCTATCATGCATCACATATTATACATCATAACAATACATCTTCAGCCAGAATTGTATTCTGTAGTTAAGAAAACATATGCATACCAACAGTAGCAAACTTTTTTTGTTTTAGAGAAAAAACAAAACTATAAAAGAACTCGCCCAACGTGGGGCTCGAACCCACGACCCTGAGATTAAGAGTCTCATGCTCTACCGACTGAGCTAGCCGGGCTTCTGAAAAGTGTTTATAGAAATCTGTAGAAGGACACAAGGTAGACATGTGAGAATTGGGTGAAATATCAGAATTGGGTATAAAACATAAAAACAAGAAGGGCGCAAGCGTCTACCACATAATCTTTAATCAATTTACTGAAAATAAAAGACAAAGCTTTTACTCACAAACCAAATACGTAATTGGCATGTGGTTGCCTAAACGCAGGATGTGGACCACTCTAAAAAAGCTAAAACAAAAAAGCTGAAAACCTAGCAACAAAGCTACTGGCTAATTTAAAAAAAAGTTCAAGAACACACAAATAACGCTGTATGAAAATGTGCAAAATGTCACACACAAAAATTGTGCCCAAGAACGTGCGAAAAACGCTCTTGTGAATGACTGCATTCAAATTCTAAAAAGTGTATTTTTTCCAAAAGAATTGCGTTTGAAAAATCGTTGCGCAAATACTGTGTGACATAAAAAAATTTCAACACCCACCATGTTATTCTCTGGGGGGGGGATAAATAAATAAGAAGATAATAAATAAAATATTAGCCCCTAACCCAAACCCTTAAACCCAATCCTAACCCTGACGTAACCTTAACTCTGACCCCTTACCCTAACAAAAAATAAAAAATTATAGTAAATGAATAATAATAACAATAATAATAATAAAAAGAAATAAAAGCTGATGGAAAAGCTAAAAAAAAGCTGAAAACCGAGCAACAAAGCTACTGGCTAATTTAAAAAAAAAAAGCTAAAAACACCCAAATAATGCTGTATGAAAATGTGTGAAGTCACACCCACAAAAATTGTGCCCAAGAATGTGCGGAAAACGTTCACGTGCGAATGCGACCTGAGGCCTGAGTATGAATTTGTTTTGTAAATGTTATAGGATCCAATTATTTTTGAGGAGAGGACAGTTTAACCTCCCTAGCGGTCTGATTATGTCCATATTTCTGTGCTCAAAGCGGTACATTATTTTGTATGGAAATATGTATTTTTTTATTGTAGGCTGTAATTTTTAGGAATAACTCACTGAAATCTGTCCGAACAAGAGTCTAGTAAACATCCCGGGTAGGATAGAACTTGAAACACGAAATCATAAATTATAATTTAATAAATAATCATAAAAAATAATAATATAATAATGATACATTTAATTAAGTAATATAATCAAACCAAAAACACTGAAATTTGAAATATAGCGCCAAGTTCGCACATCGCTGAGCAAAGTCGCAGAATCGTTTTCAATGTCTGATGACGAATTTTCCCACCACGAATCATTATCACTCAATTCTGCAAGTGGTTCTGATTTACTATCGCTGTTCTCTAGCCGGTCTAAAACCGCTTTTGACCTAAAGGGATGCTTTTTGGACGCCATGGACATTTTTCAGTTTCCAGGCAGAAAGAACAGTAAAAATGCAGGCAGGGCACAGGACAAAGCACTCGGGACAAAATGTATGTGAAATGGTTTGATACAGTAATGTTATACTATGTGATTTTAGTGATTTTAGTGTATTTAGTGAATGTCACTTTTACAACTTTTAAATTTCCCGCCAGTTCCGTCCCCATATGTCCTGACATCGCAGGAAACAGAACCCAGAAGATAGATGCCAGCATCTGCCAGAGGACATTGCCGGGGACGCTTCAGGGGGGACATCGCGGGAGCGCAGGACAAAGTAAGTGCAGAAGAGATCCCGGAGCAATGCTGCA